GAATTCAACTTTCCTCTGAATAATAATCCTGAGTGTCCCCCACACAGCAGTGAACACACGTCTGCCTGTTAAATTTAAGGAACTTAACCTTCTCCCAGATTTGCTTTCCAGTTAAAAGCACAATAACTGGGCCGGGTGCAGTGTCTCATGCCAGTAATCCCAGCCCTTTGGGAGCCCGAGGTGGGATGGATCATCTGAGGTCAGGAGTTCGAGACCAGCCTGATCAACATGGTGAAATCTCATCTCTGCTAAAAAGACAAAAAATTAGCCAGGCATGGTGGCAACATGTCTGTAAGCCCAGCTACTCGGGAGGCTGAGGCAGGAGAATTGCCTGAATCTAGGAGGCGGAGGTTGCAGTGAGCCGAGATCATGCCATTGTACTCCAGCCTGGGCAACAAGAGCAAAACTCCATCTCAAAAACAAAACAAAACAAAACCCCACAATAACTGACAAATGATCTAGCTGCCACGAATTTGAAGGTGGCTCTGTTAGGTAGGGTTAAAAGCACCTTTATTTAAAAACAGTTTACATCTGTCAGGAGGCTGTTCGGCTATTGTAGTTCAAGTTTGGGTGCTCAGCTTTGTTTGCTTAGAAACCCATTTTTGTGACACTTCAGCACCAGAGAAATGTGCTAACCCAGCTCACAAGAGCCTGATGTGGAAACAGAATTAATAAGTGACCAAACTTCAGTGAGAAACTGAATACCAGCCACTGCTCTGCTTGGGAGCAAATTCCCATTTGGACTTTTTTTTTTTTTTTTTTTTTTTCTGAGTTTAGTCAGAAGAAAAGAAGTGTTGTTGGCTGGTTCTGCAAGATCATCAATAACCACAGCACTTAGGCACCGTGTTCCTGCCTTACACACAGGATTCCAGCCCTCACAGCAGCCCCTGGAGGGAGCTGTGATTGTTTCAATTTTGTGTGTAAGGAAACTGATGCTTGAGATGCTTGAATGAGGGAATAAGTGAAGAAACCTGAATTCAAATCCCATTCCTTCAAAGCCCTTGCATTGGATTACTGAGTTCATTTTCTTAACCACTTCATGTGACTTCATGATTTTACTAAGGGAGGTCCTGGAAAATTCAAGGAGGTGCCTCCAAGGTGCTGTCGGGTGCGGGGAGCAGAACCAACTAGTGTGATCAGATTTGCTATGGAAAGGGGATTCCTCGACACAAAAAGCCTGCACACAGACAGATGTTTATAGCAGCTTTCTTCATAATTGCCAAAACTTGGAAGCAACCAAGCTTTCCTTCAGTAAGTGAATGAATAAATAAGCTATTCCATGCAATGGAATATTATTCAGTGCTAAAAGGAAATGAGTTTTGAAAAGATATGGAGGAAACTTAAATGCATAGTACAATCAAAAGGGGCCAATCTGTCAAGTCTACATTCTGTATGACATTCTGGAAAAGGCAAAACAATGGTAAGAGTAATAAGATCAGTGGTTTCCTGGGGTTGGGGGCTGGGAAAAGGAAGAAGGGAAGAATTGGTGAAAGAGGATTTTTAGGACAGTGAGACTCCTCAATGTGAAACTGTATACATTTGCCCAAACCCATAGAAAGGATAAGACCAGAGAGAACCCTAAACTGTGGACTTTGGATGACGATCATGTGTCAGTGTAGGCTCATTACTCGTAACAAATGTAGCACTCTGGTGGGAGATGTTGATAATGGCAGGAGGCTATTTATATGTGCAGGCAGGGTATATGGGAAATCTCTGTACTACAGCTCAATTTTGCTATCAATTTAAATTGCTGTAAACAAAGTCTTAACAAAAAGAATGTCTTAATATTTCAATATTTGAAATCACATAGTAGGCTGCATTTGCTACCTCTACTATGCATATATATATGTTTGTATGTGTGCATATACCCATATGCATTTACATATATGTATATAGATATGTTTCTGTATATGTGTATTACTGGTGGAATATGTTAGCACAGTGTGTGGTGTGTATGCCACATGTGATTTTTCGTATATGGATGTATGTGTATATTTATATACATGTGTGCGTATGTGTTGAGACTTCAGCATATACTAGGCTCAGTACATGAGACTTCACTCATTTCAATTTCCCAAGACTCCCACAAGATTGTTATCTTCCCCAATGGACCTTTAAGGACAAGGAGAAGATGGGTATGAAGGCTGAGGTCCACCCACATTGGGTCCCACTGCTTGGATACATCTGTATCTAGAATTTCTGGTGACCTCCTTATGACTGCCTGATACACCTGTATCGAGAATTCCTGATGACCCCTTGCTGCATAACTTTTCTTAAATACTTTTCTCTTCCTATACTGGGAGCAGATGACCTTTGATTACTAGTTTGTTTCTTTAGAACAGTTGATTAACTTCCAGCTTTCTTATTTGCATTCCTGTCTAAGGACATGTCTAGCCACCTTGTTTGGAAATAGGTGATCTCATATCTCCTCAGCTGCATCTCTCTGGGAGGGACACATTTGAATGAGACCTTCATGATAGTTGGCTGAAGTTTCCTGACTTTATCATCAAATCCTGGAGGAACCCTCCTTTCCACTGTTGCTTCCTAGCAGTGTGTAAAAGAACTGTAGAGCCCTGTGCTTCTGCCAGGGAAGATGTGACCAGGTCATGGAAACTCACTTGTTGGAAGCTGGTTTAGTAGAGAGCTTCAGTGTCCTGGTAGGATGGACTTGAATCCAAGTGATGCAGTGGCAGGGGCATCAGACTTGACAGACTTTCTTGTAAGGAGAAAACAGCTTCATAGGCTTTCTTTGGGGTTAATGAAAGCCCCCATAATTTTTATGTTTTTCTAGATGCTGATTAGTTCTCCTGTGCATAATTCTCCAAAATAAAAATAGGACCTCTAGGGTTATTCTTACTACTCATCTCAACTCTGGAATTTTGGAGAAATAATAGGTTCCAATCTTTGGGTAAATCAAGAAAAGCCAGTAAAAAATGTCATTACCCACCCTGTTGTTTAGTTCATGTTGCTCAGACCAAGTTATTCCTGGATCACAAAAGCTGGCCCAGGAGGCATCATCTCTTGGCTTTCTGAAATGGCTTTTCTGCATTCTGGGGCACGAGTCCCTCAGTGGAAATCTATAAATAAATTTGTGTTTAGAATCAGATTGGAAGGATTGCCTGTCCTTGTGAAGAATGAATGAATGGATTAGCGCATCCCCTGTTCTTTCTAAGGTAGCAAACACATCTAAATATGGTATAAGATTTAACCAATGACAGACACATCTAACTGGAGCTTAGGGGCTGAGTTAACAAAGGACAGAAAACTAACTTGTTTTGTAGTAAAGAGCTAAAATAGGAAAGACTAATAGGTTATGTGTATTTCTATTTAAACAAGCCATTTTACTAATTTCTGATTGGGTATGAAAGCCTCAAGTTGTTTTGAAAAGAAATAGCTATTTGCTGGTGGTAATTTCTTACTCTTCCCACATGTAAATTTAGAAAACTTTGGATTTTTATTTTGCTTCCCTAAATTAGCACCTGAGTAACAAATTTAAAAGCCTCATCTTTTTTTTTTTTAAGTTCAAGATGAAAAAAGTCAGAAGGAGAAAGTGAGAAAACCCACCCCCACCACCATATTTCAACTTCTTTTATTTTCTACCAAGAGAAAATTCATTATCTGATCTTTGATTTCATTTATTTCAGTGCCTGCGCTGTGCACTTAGTGGAGCTGGCTTCTACCAAGATTATATTCTGACAGGGTGATGGGGGCCGAGGCTGTGCGTGAGCGTTTGCTTTACAAGGAGAAAATGTGTTTCCCCATCCCTTTCATTTCACTCTGAAAGCCCGTGGTGGAAGAGGAATTTGCTGTTCTCAGTTCATCTGCCTCTATCAGGGCTTCTCCTTTGTATGGCCGCACCCCCTGTGAATGAGGAAAAGGGGGAGCACAAGTGTTTAACCTGTCAGAGCCAGTTCCCTGATTGTCCACAGCAAATGTTCTCTGTTAGAGAGAGGGCTAGGCGGCATAGGAGGTAAGGCAGACTGGCCGTTCTAGAAGTGGCTGTCCCGGGGTGTGGCTGTGGCTGTGGGGAGGCAGGTGTGAGGGGATTCTGAGGAATCTCTCTTCAAAGCAGATCAGGGTATAGTGGTAACAAGGTGTGTTTTAGAATTTATTTTTATTAACCAAAAACCTGCATTCTACCGTAGCTCATTGTAACCAAGGCAGGGGCTTGATCAAAAACGCCCTCTTCCCCAGCTTTCTAACCCAGGAGCACTTAAGTTACTACGGCTCACTGAATATGGCTCATCAGCATGTCGCACGGAAAAGGGCTTGAGCAGAAAGCTGATTCCAGGTGCTGCTGCGTAGAGACGAGGAGTTGCCTTCCAAACACTCACACCCGTATCCGTAAAACTCATTTTACTTACCACTGCGAGACCCTTGGAAGTTAAACATTCATGTGCCTGGAACTATAGAGTAGACCGATTTCCCAATTCTAAACAGACTTTCGCAATGAGCCTTTTTCCTCATGGGCAACTCTGCCATGTGCGTAGTAAGGCTTCTAGACCAGACAAATTTGAGATCGTATTATTTCGTTCGGTTGTGTTGTATTGTGTTCCGTCCCGTTCTTTTCCTTTCTCTTTTCTTTCCTTTCTTATTTTTAGCAACACCATGACAGTAAGAGGTAAGTTTTGAATGCTGACATCAATATTTGAGTCAAGTGGAAAATAATAATTGTAGCAACCACTTTAAGCCCAGTTGCCTGTTATCCAGAATTTCTTCTCTTAGAGGAAGCCATAGGCTGACCTTTACTTCACTATTTTGGAGTGCAATGAAGTTTCTCAGAGGTCAGTTTATTTGCCCAAATAATTCCACAGTGATGTTGTACCTGCATTATATCATGCTGATTTTAAGATAATCTACTCAAATGTATTTTCCTGCCATTTTTTCCATAAGACTCCTTTGAATTCACTTAAAATCTTATTTTCTTTTGCAGACAGCCTCTGCCTGTGGAGATATTTGTCTTATGCATACCCCTTGTGTCTGGTTTTCTTTGTACCCAGGCCTTCTGCCTTATCTAGTAGCCCAACCTACCCGGACCTGCCCTTCATTAGGATCTCCCCGCACCGGAACCCCGCTGCTGCTTCCGAGTCTCCCTTCAGCCCTCCGCATCCCTACATTAACCCCTACATGGACTATATCCGCTCCTTGCACAGCAGCCCGTCGCTCTCCATGATCTCAGCAACTCGTGGGCTGAGCCCTACAGATGGTAAGTCCAGGATGGATTCTGCTTCCTGAGATCACGCAGCCTCCTCCCTGCTTCTCACCTGGGGCGTGTATAAAGTACACCTGATGGTTAGCGAGTGTTTTCCATGTGCCAGGCACTGTACTTTGTGCCTTACATGCATGATTGCATTACAGTGTTGTAACACCTCATTGGCGGTAGTGTTAATTATCTCCATTTTCAGGTCAGAATAGCAGTGTGCAGTGGGATTTACTTGCAACTCAGTCATCCCACAGCTAGTAAGGGGCAGAGGTGGAATTCAAAGCAAAATCTTTCTGACCCCAAATCCCTCCTGGTAACTGGGGTTCTGTTCTGCTGCTTCACATATGATTAGACTGGCCCTGTAGCCATTCATGCACGTGTAGGTATAACGTGACTGTTTTACTCACTTTTTGATGAACACTTTTCTGTTCTCTGGGTCTGAGAGGCACATTTATACAGATACGTCTGTTAGAGCAGTGTTTCGCCAACTCTAGTGTGCCTGTGAATCAGCTGGGGAGCCTGATAAAAGGCGATTCTTTTTTTCCCATCAAATGGGAACAGGTGGGGCCTGAGATTCTGGGCTTTTCAAAACCTGCCAGGTGATGTTAGTGCTGTGGCTACCTGGGCCACGTTCTGAGTGGCAAGGTCTAAGAAAACATGATGGTCCGGGGCTGTTGCATGTGCTTTGTATCCTTGGCCGTGCCACATGAAAACAGAAGAAGAATGTACTGGGACAGGAAATGAGCTTAGACTTTATCATACTTGATGCTCATTTTAGGCTCTCAAAGATCAAATTCCTGTTGGTTCTGTTAGTCTCCCTATTACTTTGCAGATGACTCTTTTTAATTGGATCTGTGTATTCTCCTGGTGCCAACTTATAAAGTGGTCCTCTGATTCAGGAAAAGTATTTTCTGTCTCATGCACACATAGAAAATCACTTGCCCAACCCAATCACTGGAATCTGAATCAAGGTCCACAATTGCATCACCTATTAATTGCAGGTAGCAGACTGTGAATTCTTGGTCAAAAGTCACCACTGCCTGTTCTGCTTCAGAGAAACCCCAGGCATTTCATTTCACTGAGCAGTGCTTGATGCAACTTCCATGCCCAATTCACATTCTCCATGTAGACTTCTTCCTGAGGCTGGGTGTGTATGGTGGGAAGCTGCATGAAGTGTCTTAGGAAATATCCACTCACTTGGGTTTTCAGAAATAGCTTTCCTTCAACAACAGCCACTTTTTTTTTTTTTTTAAATTCAGTGCAGTGAATTTGCTAGTTAGTAATATGAATAGCTAAAGAATGAGTTTTGCTCTTTGAGCGGGACTCACATTTTATTTTATTTTGAGACAGGGTCTCACTTTGTTCCCCAGGCTAGAATGCCATGGTGCAGTCTCAGCTCTCTGTAGCCTGGACCTCCTGGCTTCAAGTCATGTTCCTACCTCAGCCCCCTAAGTAACTGGAACCACTGGTGCACATCACCATGCCTGGCTAATTTTTAATATTTTTTGAAGAGACAGGGTTTTGCCGTGTTGCTTATGTTGGTCTCAGACTCCTGAGCTCAAGCGATCTACCCGCCTCAACCTCCCAAAGTGCTAGGGTTACGGGCATGGACCACTTGCCTGGCCAAGATTCACGTTTTAAAAATAAAAATCAAATATAAGTTAGATTTTCTGCTTCACATTTTATTTTGCAATGGAAGAACTGGAGAATCACCTCCACCAAGTACTTGGGAGTTGGTAGAAATGACCAACAAGGAGATTATACTGAAGAGGAGAGAGAGGTTAGCTGACCATGAACTTGGAATTTTGCCTGGCTTGTGGAAATTTGCTCATGGCCATGGAAAGTCGTACCACTAAACTACTGAAATCTCTCTTATCGTCTGCTTTCCATAGCATTTGATGATGAGTGTAAATAAAACATTCTTTGACTGGTTGATTTGCCCTTCCTTTTCTTGTCTCTCAAGAATCCAGTTAATATAATCAAATAAGGTAACATGACTAATATTTCTTTTGTGGCGTAAGGTTTTTTTTCCCTTAAATCTCTATCTTTACCATGCATCATGGATAAAAAGTGTATGAAACGAATATAAAATACCCTCAAACCTATCACTAGATGCTGGTATTTCTAGATAATAATTGTGAAACTTTTCTTGATTGAATGCTAAGTGCTAAGCATGTTGCATACATCATTTAATTTTTGCCCCTGACGACTTCATGGAGCCAGTTTAAATCCAGATCTCTGTGAGTCTGGAGGCCACCCTCAGAACTGCTACAATATCTTGCTGCTTTTGCATGAAAATTGGCAGGTAGAAACCGATTATTATCCTGTTAGAAAGCTGAGTCTTGGCAGTAAATTGCTCCAGATTGATAGGTATATTTTCTTTTTGATTTTGTAATGAAAAAAAGGAAAAGAGAGCTTTTAAATTATGGAATGCAAAATTGTAGCTTATCATTCAGTTGTGTTATTAAAGCTCTGCTGTCTTTTTTCATGCTGGTAAACCCTGACTTTTCATGTGAGTGAGAGTTAACTCAGACACTCTTGTCAGAAAGCTTACAGAAGTATTTTAAGTATGTCTGGAAAGATATCATAGTCATCTAAGTTGTCTATTCTTGTAAGAAATGCAAACATACGATGATTTGGTATAAGAAATGATTTTATTTGCAGAGGCAAATGTCGTTATATACATATATACATTTTAATCATTCTGATTTATTGATAATTTCTTAGACCAACATCAAAAACTTTGTAATGCATTTCACTTTTTTCTATTCTTTTCCTTCGGTTTTATGTTCAAATAAAAGATGTCTAATAGACCTAAGAGCACAATTTGAGTTAGGAGACCTTTAATAAGCCATAAAAGGAATTGCTGATGTGGGTTGTGTGATGGACTCTGAGATGCCTCAAAAGAAACTTCTAGTTGACCTTCTTTCACTAGTAATCGTACATTTCTTGTTTCCTCCTTAGCTCCCCATGCAGGAGTCAGCCCAGCAGAGTACTATCATCAAATGGCCCTGCTAACCGGCCAGCGCAGCCCCTATGCAGACATTATTCCCTCAGCTGCCACTGCTGGCACGGGGGCCATCCACATGGAATATCTTCATGCTATGGATAGTAAGTGACGGGGCTGTTTTTTGGAGTCTTGGGAAATGGGAAAGGCTACACTTTATAAAACAGGGAGGAAGATACAAAGATTAGGTGGTTGTGTAACTTTTCCCACTGGAGGAGAAAATGGAACCACTACCATTTGGTGCTCTGGTTCGCTTGGTTTTGTAGAAGCTTCCAGAGATTTGGACATCCTGGGACTCCTTGTTTAGCTCAAGGACACCAGCGAACTGGCAGATGCAGCCAATTGTAATTGACAGTGCTATACAAATATTAACTGGTCAAAAAATATTAGCCCATGTGACACAGTGAGATTCATCTCTACAAAAAATTAAAAACTAGTTGGGTATAGTGGCATGTACCTGTAGTCCCTGCTACTCAGGAGGCTGAGGCTGAAGGATCACTTGAGCCCAAGAGGTCGATGCTGCAGTAAGCCATGGTCATGCCACTGCACTCCAGCCTAAGTGACAGAGTGAGACCCTGTCTCCCCTAACCAAAAAACGTTTTTCCTGCCATGAATATCTTGATAACAAAATAAGGGAAAGGATTTGATATATGGATGGACTTCGCCCTCCCACTCAGTTTCATGGATTTTATGCTTTAAAAAATAATTTTTAAAAATACCTATTTTGGTTTTACATTTTTGCCTTAAATGATTTAGTTTGCCCCATATGTTTTCTTTACATTAAATAATTATATTTCACTAAGACCTTTTGTAGCTGCTGAATATATGAGAGGATCAGAATAGTTATCAATAGTTACCAAATAGCTTATTTGGAAAAAACTAAAACTTTTTCCAAATCAGAAGGGGCTACTTTTAGTACCTAGCAATGGAATAAGATGAGATTACTTGATGCATGTTGTATCACTTATTCTGGGGTCCCTTAAGTGTGTAGTGATTTCTGTGTGTTACTTATGTAGACGCATAGACAAAGAAGCCTATAATTACCTCTTGTCAGAGCATTCCAGAGCTCTCATCTCTTCAGATCCTTTAAGGACACATCTGTTTGCAGGGCGCTCTGAAGTGAACCTAAAGCATCATCCAACTCATACAACAGCAAAAGCCACTACCTTTGAATAGGAGCACAATATGACTTTGAGTAGGGCATTTTCTTGGAGTCTTGTTTGTTTTTCCACGTAGCAGCGATTCACTTAGGCTTTTCCATCTACAATCTCTTTGGATTCTTCTGTGACAGAGGGTGAGCCTATGTCAACTCTAGTTATTCAGTCCTGAGGCTTAGAATAGAAAGAAGGTGATTGTTTCACACAGGGGTGAAAAATCTACAGCCTCAGTCTGCTCACCACACAGAACTACTTTTGTGTGTTTCATCAGAACACAAGAGTGTGTTGGTGTCCACCAGGAAGCTCATTACTGCATGGAATAAATGTGTTACATAAAATAAATGTGTTACATCTTCTGCAGGGGTTTTGTTGTTTGGCTTTGTAGCATAGAGAGCTTACATTTCAGATTCATCATAACCACATTTCAATTAGCGATTGCTGAAAAAAAAAAGTTGCGTTATTATGCAAATCAGTTATTTAAAATCTGCAAATAAAGAATTAAAATAAGAGAGAATCCTTGGAAGGGCAGCCTACATTTCTTTCCCTATTTGATGAGAATGTGTTTAGTCAGGCAAGTGGCGGTTTTTATCTAAATAAAGGATGAAGCTACCCTTTTACTTTGTAAAAACTAATTAAAGGAATTTTAATTTGCCTGAGTATATGGTAAATTGATTGTCATTAAGTAGGAATTTAGATGTCCTATCATTCATCACATAAAAATAAACCTCTTTTTTCTTTGTCAGAATTTCTTATTAGAATAGAGAAACAAAACAATTAACAAAAAGCCAGATCAGAGATATCTTTGTTAGAACAATAAGAATGCTCTGGCTTATATTTAAGAAGGAAGCTGTATGATCAGTGAAGAACTGGGCTACTTCTCTTTTGGCAATTTTGAAAATGCTAACCTTGTCTTTTAGCAGCTCCCTTCAACAGAGTATCCCAAATCACTATCCCCAAATGCTGAGTTTCTCTTCTTTTGCTTGGTTATTAAGGAGCTGGGAAGAACATATTAAAAGACTGGAAAGTTCTTAAGGCATTATATTCTTTTCCCCTAAAGCAATTGAAGTAGTGCTTATTAATAGTTATTTAGTTAGAATATAAGAAGATTACCCAGAAATTTTGACCATACAAAGAAGTGAAACACTAATCCTCAATTCCTACATTGGATATCCATCTGCAGTGGTAGATCAAAACCTGGGATCTGTCTGGTCACTCTGATCCCATGTTACAGATACTTAGGACTTCTTAATTAACACAACCCTCAGTAAACTGGGTTCAGTGAGCACCTGACTTTTAAATAGTGGGCATATCTGGGTTTCAGCAAGATGTAAGGCAGAGTGTTTATATGTAGCTCGTTAGGATAAACTTGTCTGTTTATGGTTCCAATTCTACCTCTTAGGGTTGGATATGCTCTCATACCTCTTAGGTATGAGAGCAAGTACTCCCTATAAGGAATATTCTAGAGATAAGGGCCCCTGAAGACCACACTATTTATATTGGTGGAAACAAATAAGAGCCAGTCATGGAAGGAAAAACACAGAGAGGAAAGATTCCATGCCAGGCTGTAAGCAAGCCAAAGGGTTTCATGGAAGGGGTGAAAGGGTCTTGAGAGACCCCTCACCCTCTTTAGAGGTTGTGAGGGGGATGTAAGGCTCTTGGTGTTTGAGAGCATCAAATGGGCTTCTTTGCATCACAATTAGTTAGTGATGTAAAAAGTTAGAGATTTTCTAGGGATGTATCAGAATGGATAACAGGATGTCTAGCATGTGCTGTCAACTTCTAGCTGCCAATGATCACTGAGTACCATTGAGAAAGGCAGTTTTTGTTCAGGATTATATGGAAGTTGACAATAAATCTGGTTTGTCCTTGGGAGTTACTTGGAAATGACACGTATTTCTTCACTGAAAAACTTCCATGATGGAATTAGCCTCTCATGGTGAGTAAATGTGAAGGAGTTGTGTGAAAGTTTAAGACAGATGCCATTATAAAAGTAAGATGCTGATTTAAATGCCTAAAAATATGCACATAGTTGAGATTGCTGTTTTGTACTAACATTCTCTAAATCATTCTATTCTAAATGAAGGAATTCATTTTAGATGTGCCTGAAAGAAAAATTTGAGTAGGTACCACATTCATCATTCAAGTTGGTTTTTAAGTTTTATGCATGGATGGCGCTAATTTACTAAATTTCAGCTTGTGGATTTTTTCCCCTTATTTCTATAGTATTGAGAATAAAGTATTTCATATTCATCTGTCCCATTTTATTGAATTATCTCTAAGCATGTTGGATTGTTATCTTCTGTCAAGAACCATCTTTTTTGAAAAAAAGTATTCCCAAAGAATTTTCTGGAGACCAAGAGCCTGGACATCTTTTTAATTAAGAAAGATTACCTAGTACTTCAGTTTTTCTGGGTACTATAAAATTGCCATGTTCCCATAAACTGGTATACTCATTCTGTGAGATGTTAGAAACCCTTCATTTTACTTAAAACTAATCATGTTTGTTTTGGTTTGCCTCTTACCGGGTGGGATTATGCTCTCATTCTTTTATTAAACTTTAGTTTCGTGACTCTGTAATGTAAATGTGACCTTCAAAAAGGCAGAATGGACCTGTGGGCCACATTCATCTCTTTGTCTTGAAATTCACATTTCTAATATCTACCAAATTTGAATGCAAATTGGCATTTAATTTTGAACTCTTTGGGAAGAAACCATTTTATTAAGTTGAGATGCGTTTAAGTTTGAGTTACTCACCTCTGGAGTTGGACTCCATATTAAGACTTCATCATTGGAATCTTCTTGAAGGTTAAAAATTTGAGTGAATGTGTTACCCTTTATTGGGTCTGACTGGAGAAACAAGGTCCAGAGAAGAATTAAAATGTCCCTTCAGCTCATTGTACCTTATTATCATGCTCACAGGGGTTTCTCCTCCACTGTGGAAAATCTGTAAACGAGCAACATTACCAGCTTTTAAATGTTTCTTGGGATTTATCCTCTTATATGATGGGGAATGTAGGGCAGAAGTTCTCAATCTCGGTGATATTTGGGCCAGATAGTTCTTTATAGTGGGGAGAGTGACCCTGCTACATTATAGGATGTTCTGTAGCATCCTCAGATTCTACGCTCTAGATTCCAATAGCACCCAGAGTCCTGAAAACCAGAATATCACCAGATATTGTCAGATGTCCCTTGGGGGGCAAAATTTCTCTCAACCGGTAACCACTGATTCAGGGTAATTATTTAGAAGTTGTTTTAATAATGCTTTAAGTATACCATGGAGCAGGTAACTCTCGAAATCACTGGGCACTGAGAGCATAACTGAGCTGAATTTTTAATCTTAAGATACTTTAATTCATTTTCTTCCTTTGGCTCGTGACTTAAAATGGTGTGTGTTGGGGTGGTGAAGGTGGTGTGTTGCAAGTGTGGGAATCACTGTCTTTGTCGCTTGTGGTGAATTAATGATGGGAATATCTAAGCAGCCGTCAGATGCATAAATCACTGGAAATGAAAGGGATAACACATAAAAGTCTCTGCCTTTTGTTTAGCAATTTATCATTTTGCTTGCACATTAATAAACAGAGCTCCCCCGAGGTAAGCCCCTGGAAGATAAATATTTCTCCCTAATTTCCTCAATTGTAGCTAGTAGATCACATGGGGGAGGAGATGTGCTTGTCACCGCAAGTTGCCAGCTTCTTATCCTTCACTTCTTCCACGTAGGTGAGTAGCAATAAATAACTGGTATAGAGTCCAACTGCAGGTAATTAGGTTCTGTTTTGTTTATATAACAGGCACCAGATTCCCCAGCCCCAGGCTGTCAGCCAGGCCGAGCCGAAAACGTACCCTGTCCATATCACCACTGTCCGATCATAGCTTTGACCTTCAGACCATGATAAGGACGTCTCCCAACTCCTTGGTCACGATTCTCAATAATTCCCGTAGCAGCTCTTCAGCAAGTGGCTCCTATGGTCACTTATCTGCAAGTGCAATCAGGTATGTATTTTCCTGAATTCATTATGTGTTTTTTAAATGTAATGTCAGCCCTTGTCTGCACCTGTAGTGATGCATCTTCAGTACCGACTGCCTAGGAGGTAGAGTAAAACCACATGATGCTGGGCTTATAGCAAGAGACAGGTCAGATATCACAATGAATTGCAAAACCAGTTTTTGGGCCTCAGATTATTTTCTGTTTGCAGACTTCAGTCAATAGCCCATATATAGAAAGAGCAGTTATTCAGTTATGATGAAATCCATTTCGTAGAGACAGTGAGTATGGCAAATCTTTTTATACAGCCTTTTCCTTCTAATAATGTTCTCTAGAGAAAAACTGACTTCATACCTGGTTGTATGACATGTACAACATGAACAAAATAAAAAGACCAGTCATGGCAGAAGTCTTGTCCTACAACTCTTAAGAGAAAAGAGTCCATTGGGAACGAGAGAGGAACAGCAGAGCTTTTTGTCTGATGAAAAATAAGTGCAGATGACTTGGAAGGCGTAGTTATCGGAGGAAATCTGGCAAAAGAATATTTCTTTGTTTTTCTGTTAAGTATTTTTAGCTTAATATGAAAGATCCCTATTTTATCCATACACCTTTGTTAACCATGGATAGTTCCTTGCTTGATGGAAAGTGCTTTGACACTTCCTTGCATGAAGTACGTCACATCTGTTCTTACAAGCACAGACTCTTGTAAACATGATTCACATAAAATATTTCTCACTGCTAATGATCAGCTTGGACTGTTATCAATAAGTAGGAAATACAAGTAAGTTAACATACAGAGTTTAGGTGAGTTAGCTGATCATTTATGTTTTGAACTGAACCAGCTCACAAATGGTTATTTGAGACATAGAATTACTACTCTGATCAATTAATTTAGCAATCCTGTTTATAAATTTTAGCTCTCATTTTTCCTAAATTTTTTTTGCTAATAATTTAAGGATTCAGTTAGTAGCAGTCTTTTTGAATTGTAGTTTTGTTAACCGTGAATAATTCCTTGCTTGAAAAGTACATACTAACGAATGTTTTCACTAGCCTTGGTTTTAATAAGTGAGGTCTTGTTTGCTTCTGTGAATGGGTAGTAGATTTATTTGTTCATTGTTGGGTCTTTCATGGTAGATATACATGTTAGGGAAACCTCATCAGTTCAGAAAAAGAACTGTTTGCAGGAGCAAAATACCCACATTTACTAAAAATAATGAATACCCTTGTCTTTCCCTAATGTTCTCCCTTAAAGTTTTTTTTTTTTTTTTTTTTTCTTTCCTTGTTCAGTTATTAGCAATGTTCTTCAGTGGGCGTGTTAATATTTAAATGTGGCAAATCCTAACTTTAAATGATGTCATTTTCTGCTGCTTTTCTTTGTTCTTTTCATGTGGTCACTTAAGTGTGGAAACATGGAGAGCTGCAAGCAACAGTGCTCACATGAGAGCAGTCCGTGCACAGGGAGGGCTCCTGGGACATTTTCCAGATTAACCACTGGAGTCACAAATATAGGCATTAGAGTTGAATACGTCTATGGTCAGATTCCAGCTTTGCCACCAACCAGCTTTGCAAACCTAACTTACCCCTCAGCTCTTTGAAGTTTAGTCTTTACATTTGTGAACTACAGATAAGACACTCCCTGTATAAGAAGAGGGCACATTTTACTAAAGCTGGTGTGGACCTGCAATGGTAGGATGAGATTCCTACCTGAGGTGACGTTTCAGGTGGAGCTGAGCTGGGATGGTTCATCCAGGAGAGGAGGCATCACAGACCTGTCTGTGCTACCCTGTTCTCCATCCCAGTCTGGCCCCATGGAAGCATGCCAGTCTCAGAACCCTGGCCTGTCTGTTCCTGCACTCCTGGCAAATATTCCCAGGTCATGGACTAACACGGACTGGAGGTCACTTTACTGCAATTATGCAATTGCTATGTAGCATGACTAGAAGTCATAGCATCCAAGTAGCAGAAATGTGGCATACAGTGATATTCCACAAAAATAACACACAAAATCACTTTGTGAACATTCATTTCTCTTGCTTCTATACTTTTTCTTGCCTCTTGCTCTCTGCCCAGCTCTTGACTTTTTACAGCATCTAAAGGACATAGATTATAATATGGTACAGAAATGGTCACAATGCTATGTTTACTTATTCTTACCCCAGTGTCCTGTCCTTAGTCCTTACAGACTTCCTGGTGTCCTCATCTTCACCCAGGTAAGCTAGTGTCAGTACTTAGGAGACTGTGAATCTGCTGACTTGAAATCATCACTGCCCATCTTGTCTCCAAGGAGCTATATCATACCTCTTTATATCATTAGAGATGGAAGAAGAAGATTCACTTAAATATCAGTCAGGTCCTTGGAGGCTGTTACAGTTAGGTAAAAGAAAATGGGCCCATTGTGTCCTCAATTTTTTTTTGCCTTGAGACTTTGGATTGCATCTTTCCTGTCCTAGTACAATCTCTCCCCGTTTAGTACGCATTTGCTATATTTTAGGACAATATGTCTTTTCTCACACATAGCAGGTAATGCAGACTACCCAAGATGAGATCAGCTTCCCAACTAATGATGATAATCATTGTTATCATTGGCACCACTGGCCAGTTCTTTAGCTAAAGGAATGCTAGTGTTGGGCTTACACTGGCTCTAAGTTCCATTTTGTGAGATCAAAAACTAACTTCAGGAATAATCAGTTAGGGGTGGCACCAGAGTAGAACAGGGCAAGGAAAGGAAACAAGGAGACATCTGGGAAAGGTAGCTGGCTTTCTCAACAGTGAAAGGTGTGAGAGAGAAAGTGGACTTCAGGTGTGTTTAGTCTCTGCGACCTGCTGAGTCACAGGGCAGGTGCAAGGCTCAGGCTCACTCACTGTTCTCACATCATAGCTCTTCGGCAAAGCAAGTGGTGCTATTCTTTTTTCTTTTTTCTTTTTTCTGAGACAGTTTTACTCTTTTTCCCAGGCTAGACTGAAGTGGCATGATCTTGGTTCTCTGCAAGCCGCCCCAGCCGCCAGGTTCAGGTGACTCTCCTATCTCAGCCTCTCGAGTAGGTGGGATTATAGGGGCTCGCCACCACTCCCAGCTAATTTTTTTGTATTTTTAGTAGAGACAGGGTTTCCTCATGTTGGCCAGGGTGTTCTCGAACTCCTGACCTCAGGCGATCCACCCACCTGGGCCTCCCAAAGTGCTAGGATTACAGGCGTGAGCCACCGCGCCCGGCCTTATTCTTGTTTCACACCTAAGCCCAGTGGGTCTTTGCAAGATGAAGTCAGCAAAGTTCCGTGCCTGCTGGGCGTCAGCACTAGCACTCCAGTTTCCTGCTTGTTAATTTAAACACGCTTGACTTTCACGCTTACATGTTTTCTGATACCTAATTTGCTGTTGGTATTGGCAGTGCATCAGTAATTATGTTTACATTTCTAAACATGTTATTAAATGTTTAAAGATACTCATTCAGTATCTAAGAAATGCTATTGCTGTCTCCTTCACATCTATGCCCTAATGCAAATGCTGTTCTCAAAGATGCCTGTAATAGCATTTACCACTATTTGACATTTCCGTATTTACTTTCTCCTTTAGTAGTCTGCTATTCATTTCTCTCCAATAGAACAGAAGCACCAAAGAGCAAACATCTGTGTGCCTCTTGTCCCCTCCCCTGTGACACCTGCATTCTCTCATATTGACACCATTCAGTAAGTAGTTATTGAGTGAATAAATTAAGGAGCTCTCCCAAGAGTAATTAGAATTCTCATCATCACCTTATTAAAGTAAGTTTCTACATGGTAGATAAATAATTCTGGTTTTCCGAAAGTTGCAATCTATATGAGTGTTGTATTATTAACTGGCTGTAAATTGATAGAAACAGAGACAGAGGGGTGGATACAAAATAAAGGATTAAAGAAGCAAATGCCTATTTTAAGTTTGTGTGTGGTTTTTGTGTTTATATATTTACTTAATAATCCAGAGTACTATAAAAATATCGTGTAAACTAATATTAATTCACAAAAGCCCATTGGCATATTATAAAAGTACTTGATTATGTCAGATTTTTAAAAATGCATTGTCTAGACATACATGACAAGTCTTTTTAAATCTCATAATTAAAATAGCTTTCAAAAATAACTCCATGTACACTGCAAAGTATGTTATAAAATATTCTTTGTTTCAAGAAGTTGTGGGTTCTCCATCACACAGAAGACTCCCATCAAAGACTAGAAAATTTATATTTATCAAATACAGCCAGTAACCCCCCAACTCTACATAGTTAAGACTAATGTTGTAAATAGCCAATGAATCACAGTAGATTAAAATAGATTACCTTTGCTAAAACCTTCTCCCTTAGGAAATTGAGCCGCCACTGGAAGAGAAGGTGTTTTAAGTGACCCCCATCTTCTGTCCTCTTCTGGCAAATGTAAAGGGTATGAAGAAATGAGTGCCTCACTCATTTCTAACCCACTGGGTATCACTTTCACTTTCTATTGAATGGCTACATTGAAAGTAATTTTATATTCTTAGTAGTTTTAAGTCTGGTGTGACCAGGGAAGAGATCTCAGTGAAAATGACATTCCCATGTTGCACATCACCCCACTCAGTGCCGAGATTGCCAGCTTCACAAGACTGTGCAGGGTTTTTCTGCTGCCAACACTGATGAGCTCAGCCTGATGACCAGAAGGCAAGTTGTGCTTTCTGTTTTGTGTGTCGTCAGCCCCCTCCGACACTAGGACCCTGGAGTAAGGATGCATCTGGCAGGTCCACTAATACTGCCTGAGGCAGGCTAGGAGTCAGCTCGGCCTCCATAGCTCCTTGGCTCTGTGCTTTGTAAACACCTTGCTTAGATTCAAGAAATAGCACACCAATGAATTGAGAAACATATTGAAGAACAGATGAATATGATGCCAAATTACCCATGTCTTTAAAATTCTCATTCTATCTTTGAAAAATTAGGAGATGACATTCCCTTCCCCCATTTTCAGTAAAATAATTAATACTACATTAAAACGATAGCTCTCATTTACT